TACACAGTATTATGAGATGCACCGGAACAATCCATGTATCAAACGTGATTCATGAGTGAGTTTGAGATTAAAAGTGATTAGGATTCAGATTCTTTCTCACGCTTCTTACTTTAACACAGCTTCTTATAAGATCCTTCGTCTCTAAGTTAATACAGATCTTAAAATGATAGAGACAGATATTTTAAATAACTATCATTTATGACTAACTTATCAATAGATTTGAAAACATGAAAGAGACCAACACATTGAATGAATGAGTAGGTACATGTATCTATGTAGGTCTAGGTAACTTAGTCAAATCTCTTCAATTAAGAATCATAAAGCTTTCACACTCAGAAAGCTACACTTATGTTTTAGCATTTTTATTAACTTGGATATCTAACCCGTTATATAAGCCGACTAATCCCAGAACGACCACCTGCTTTGCGGATAGTCCGAAGTTACCGTATTTGTACCTCCATGGCTATAAAAAAATTTTTTATTCTTCATTGGATTTAAACATGAGACCTATAGACACTTTTGGCTTTTGAAGTCTAAGGTCAAACCAATCAGACACCACCCTTGTGGTTTATGTTTAGCATTGACATGTAAATGAAAACAAAATAAAAATCTAGTTTATTTTCTTTCAAATGAACTTATATGTTTTCGTTAGAAAAATCTACAGATTTAGTCGCTTGGCGCTGCTATCTGTTCTTTATTTAATGTCTTAATCTGACATTTAGTACGCATTTATTGGAATTATAGTTATAATTTATCGAGTAAAATAGTGTTGTAAAGGGGTAGACTAAATGCATCCTTACCTGTTAATTTCCTCCTCATACACATCAACATCAAGATCTATTTTATCAATTTCCAATGCATGATTTGACTTGATTTTGACATTAAAAAGGGGGCATATTACGATGACCATTGTATGAACTTTTTACAGAGGTGGGCTAAATGCACCCATCCTTTTATATCAGAAATCAAGTTAAATCATACATTAAAAATATAAAAGTAAGTTTTAATATTGATATATATATATATATATATATATATATATATATATATAAAAGAAGTAAATAATTAGATGGAGATGAATTAAACAATATATAAAGATGCATAGCATACCCTTTAAACTTTACTACATTTAACCACAAAGAGTATTGCTTGATTGGTTTGAGCTTGAGCTCCAAAGGTCAAAAGTGCCTCGAGGTCTCAAATTCAAATCCAAGAAAAAATAAAAACCCCTTTGTGGTCATAGAGATTCAAATACGGTGACTCCAAGCCACCCGTAAAACCAATGGTCACCCTAAAATTAGTCAGCTCACACAACGAGTTAAATATCCAGATTAATAATTTTTTTTTTATCACATTTAGAATTTGGGCCTACTTTATTTATTACATTTAGAATTTAGGCCTACTTTCTTTCAATTGATTTAATAGGGTGGTCATGAATTTGTCATAAATAGTTGAAGTGGTGTTTGGATAGGCTTTAAGTGTATAAAGTCACTTTTAGGATTAATTGATTCTTTATGATTTAATATGTGAAAAGACAAAGTAATCAATGGGGCCCTTAACTTCAATTAAGAAAAATCTTAAGAGCTTAATGGAGGTCTTTATAAGAACTTATAAGAATTCTGTATAATGTTTGTTATTGTAAGAAACTACAGTTTTTGCTTATAAGAACCTTACATTAGAGATGCTCCGGATATATAAGGTTAAATTCTGATGAGAATTTGGGAACAAAACGTTCATATACCTTGCAACTATCTTTATTTACCCTTTTTTTATCATCATGACTGAAACTTTAACAAATTCATATGAAAATAAATGTGAAGATAAAGGTAGATCAGAACAGTTTGAAAGAGAATGAAGTAATATGAGAGGCCAACTCGTCCTAACGCTTGGAAGTGATCTTTCCATTATCATCATAATTGTTATTCTCATGACGTACACACACATGCGCGCACGCACGTGCACACACACACATAGGGTATATTTCAAATGCAACCATGTTCATTTGTACAACTAATGCAACCCAATCAATTGAGATACTTATGAAAAAATTTATTATGATTTAAATATTTATGGATGACGATTAGAGTTAATTAGTTATGATCAATACTTTATATTAAGAAACAATCAAAACTTTTATGAAATCACATATTCATCAAATTAAATGTACGGTTAAAATTTGTATTGGTTATACAAATATAAATGATTGTATAATAACTCACCTCTATATGTATATATAAATCTCTTTATTATTTTTCTCAAAAAGATATATTGATTTAGATAATGAGTTCCACTTTTTTTTATGTGTTGATGATAAGAACAAGATATAGAAATAAAAGAAAAGTAGGTAAATAAATTCCAATATATATATATATATATATATATATATTAATTATGAGAACTTTTTAAACAGTTTTTTATATTTTATCTTTTTTACATTACAATTTTTTTCAAGGATTTATACAAGTTTGCTCATGCTTTAAATTAAGTAAAAATTGAGTTTATAGGACATTCTCAATCTCTAAGTGTCTCAACAGATTGTTTTATAGGACTTAGTTTATAGGACCAAAAATATAAAGTGTCCTATCTAAAGAGATTGTAATAAGTTTATATGACGCTTTTGAGCGTTTTAACAAGTTTTTAGGGTATTTTTATACAAAACGTCGCATTAGCAATTTTATAAAAGTGTCTTATAAACTCAATTTTTTATAGGACAATTTTTCAAAAAATGTCATATAAAGTTGTTAATGAGACGCTTTATATTAAAAATGTCATAAAAAACTTATTATGACATCAAAAAATGTTATATAAACTTAATACAATGCCTTTAGATAGGACATTTTATTTTTTGGTTCTATAAACTAAGTCCTATAAAGAGGTCTAATAGGACATTTAGAAATTGAAAACGTCCTATAAACCCGATTTTGTTGTAGTGTGATATAATTATAAGAATTCAAGAATGTTAATTAATAAATATTTTTCTTATAAATTAAAATGATTCATCAACATTTTAGCCTCTCAAATACACAATATGTTCAAGTTCGAATCTTGTAGGAGACGGGTTTGAACCCATCTGCTAGCCTCAACCTCTGATCGAGTCAGCTGTTAAATGCCGCTTCATATGTGGTTCCTAAAGGGAGGGTTTCATATAGGACGTTTGAGGTTGGCGATAATCAACCTTTTACTCAAATAACAGTATAAATTTCATCTTTCTATAATTTATGTGCCGTTTACCAAACACTTACCCGGGTAAACACTTATCAAGTCAATTTACTTTATCGGATGAATATGGCAAAGACTAAGAATCTTACCGGTAAGAGCGAAAGCAAGAATCTCAAGTCTAACCCGGTAAGTGAGGACAAAGACTCTTACCATGGTTAACGCTTACCGGATAAATTGTTGCATACGATGCGTTTTAATGAATAAAATCTTGCCCTGTAAGTAAGTGATAGTGTTAAATTTTACCGGTAAGTGTACAAGTAAACGGCCCCTTACTCATAAAGATTACCATTTTATGATTATTTTATCTAATTTTCTTTATTTCTTTTAATAAAAATAATATTTAAAAAAAAAAAAGCTTAAAAGATTAAGATAGAATTTGTGTCGCTTGATGATGTTTCTTTGATAATATATTAAATGATAGTGATGTTTAAGATTTAAAGTAGAATCCATATATTAAGTGAAAAATCACTATCATTTAAAGATATTCACAAAATAATTATATATACATCGACTTGGTATCACGTGATATCAACCTGTTTTCGTGAGATCCGTGAGACTACTTTTTTTTTACATTTGAAACTTCACAGCAAAACGCTGTGAAAGTAACATTCACTGTGATTTTGCTGTGAAGGTTCGTTTTCTTTTTTACCTTCACATCGTTTTTGTAAAGTTTCAAATGTAAAAAAGTTGTCTCAAGAGTCTTACGAAAACATGCTGGTTTCATGATCCCAAGTCTCTCTCTCTCTCTGTATGTATATATATAAGATTTTGATGTGAAGTTTTGCCTTTACAACGTTTTGATGTGAAATTTTAAGTGTAAAAATTGGTCTTATGGATCTCACGAAAACAGATTGGTCTCACGTGAACCCAACCCTCCCCCCCCCCCCACACACACATATATATATATATATAGAGAGAGAGAGAGACTTGGGATTATTTGAGACTAAAGGTTTTTTATGAGACCCGTAAGACCAATTCTCAACCACTGGATTAGATCTACAATCTGAACATTCATAATTACAAAATTGCCATGAGACTTCTCAATAATCATAAAATTGTCATCGTGCAACTTTAGATCATTAGCTTATAAAGCTGATCAATGAACATAAATTAGTCTTACGGGTCTCACGAAAAACCCTTGGTCTCACGTGAACCCAACCCTATATATATATATATATATATATATATATATATATATATATATATGCATANCCCTATATATATATATATATATATATATATATATATATATATATATATGCATATAGAGTTTTGCTGTGAAGTTTTGCCTTCACAACGTTTTAATGTGAAATTTTAAGTGTAAAAATTGGTCTCACAGGTCTCACGAAAACAAACTGCTCTCACGTGAACCCAATACTATATATATATATAGACTTGGGATCATGTGAGACCAGCCTGTTTTCGTGAGACCCGTGAGACCAACATTTTACACTTGAAACTTCACAGCAAAATGCTGTGAAGGTGACTTTTTAAAACCTTCACAGTGTTTTTGTTGTGAATGTTCGACTTTTTTTAAACCTTCACAGTGTTTTTGCTGTGAAGGTTACGTGTAAAAATGTGGTCTCACGGGTCTCACGAAAACAGGCTGGTCTCACGTGAACCCAACCCTATATATATATATATTATGGTTATCTTTTCATGCATTATGGTTTGATAACTATGTGGATATGAGCAAACGCAACACATCGACTAATTTTATAAAACTTTCACGTATATGTTTTGCAACATAATTTCGAACATCTTTTCAGCTGATCATAAACATGGAACCCTTTGATCCACCCTTTCAACAATTCTACAAGAACTTATTCGACAACCATTTCATCGACCAATCGTCTCCAAAAACCAACCAAATTGAAGCTTTTCATGAAGTAGAAGCGTCTGAGTTCGAGCTCCCATTGATCGATCTAAGCCGTTTGAACCACGGTGGTTTCGACTGCGAACAATGCAAACGAGAAATAGCAGAAGCTTCACAACAATGGGGGTTTTTCCAAGTCGTTAATCACGGGATTTCATGGGAGATTTTGGAGAAGATGAGGCATGAACAAGTGAAAGCATTCAAGAAACCGTTTCACGACAAGGTGAACGGCAACGGCCACCGCGAGCTGAATTTTCCGGCAGATAGTTACCGGTGGGGGACTCCTTCAGCAACTTGTTTGCAACAACTGGCTTGGTCTGAAGCTTTTCATGTGCCATTGACTGAGATCTCAACAGTGGCTGATGCAGCCACCGGTCTTAGGTACATACACTACAACAAAATCGGATTTATAGGACACTCTCAAATTCTAAGTGTCTTAATAAACCTCTTTATAAAACCACAAGGGTGGTGTATGATTGGTTTGAGCTTAACTCCAAAGGTTAAAAGTACCGGGAGGTCTCGGGTTCAAATCCAATGAGAAATAAAAATCCCCTTGTGGCCACGGAGGTTCAAATACGGTGACTCCGGGTTTATCTGCAAAGCAGATGGTTGCCCTGGGATTAGTCGGCTTGCATAGCGGGTTGGATATCCAAGTTAATAAAAAAAAAGACCTCTTTATAGGACTTAGTTTATAGGACCAAAAAAATAAAGTGTCATATTTAAAGGCGTTGTAATAAGTTTATATGACCTTTTTTAACGTCGTAATAAGTTTTTTAGGACACTTTTAATTTAAAACATCACATTAGCAACTTTATAGAACACTATTTGAATAATTGTTCTATAAAAATTGAGTTTATAGAACACTTTCTCAAAAGCGTCCTATAAAATTGCTAATGCGGCATTTTGTATTAAAATTTTTCTCAAAAACTTGTTAAGACTTCCAAAAGCGTCATATAAACTTATCACAACACCTTTGGATACGACGCTTTATATTTTGGTCCTATAAATTAAGTCTTATAAAACGGTCTATTGGGACACTTAGAGATTGGGGACGTCCTATAAATCCAATTTTGTTGTAACTATAGTTCTTTGTATATAAACTTTGCTTCATTTAATGGGCTCAAGTTTGTTTCTTACTCTTATCCAGCACGACGATGAAACAATACGCGACGATTGTTTCTAATCTAGCAGAGAAATTAGCAGAGATTTTGGCTGAAAAACTAGGGCAAACATCTGATTTTTTCAAGAAAAATTGTGTACCTAGCATGTGTTACATTCGCATGAGTCGATATCCACCTTGCCCAGTTACTCCACAAGTTCTCGGATTAATGCCTCATACCGATAGCGATTTCCTCACGATATTACATCAAGATCAAGTAGGAGGATTACAGTTACAGAAAAACGGAAAATGGATCAATGTTCATCCAAATCAAGAAACCCTACTTGTCATTATCGGAGATCTTTTTCAGGTATATCATTAATTTAGGGTTTAATGGGTTGTTTGTTTACCTCTTATTAGTTCAATTAAGAGACAACATCTGTATCGTTTAGAGGTGAATCTTGTTTGATAAAAAAAAATTGTCTCTTAATTGTTCTAAAATCATATGAATGATTTTGTGTCATGGGCCTCTCTTAAATAACCATTCAATGCCCTAATTTCATTGTAAACAATTACCAAACAACTATAATTTATTTTGCACTATATCATGAGAGACTCTTAATCATTCTACATCAAACCATTCAACAACTGTCATCAGCTTTTGTATTTCTGCAGGCATGGAGTGATGGTGTTTACAAGAGTTTGGAGCATAGAGTGGTTGCTAATAAGCAGTACGAGAGGTTTTCAACTGCTTATTTTCTGTGTCCATCTTATGAAACAGTGATAGAAAGTTGTGGTGAGAGTTCAGTTTATAGAAGGTTTAGTTTTCGAGAATTTAGACAACAAGTTCAAGATGATGTGAAGCGATTTGGGCACAAGATAGGCCTTTCTCGGTTTATTCTGTGAACCAAACGGACATAAATTTTCAATTTTTTAGGGTTTCGTTTATATGTTGTAACGAGAAAAAACGATGCGATTCTGGGTCGTTTTTTACTTTGATATAAATAGAAATAAAAACGAGGTCGTAAAATAGAAAATAAAAGATTGATGACGTTTTCATAAATGAGTGGAATCTCTTAATTTAGTCGTTATTTATTGTCTCTGATTTTTTGACTTACAGTGTTATATTTGTGTATTCTTTTAAATTTGATATCAGTTTGCTTAATTATATTTTGAGTAAACTACGAATTTGGTCCCCATGGATCACGTGAGACCAGTCCATTTTCGTGAGATCCGTGATACCACCTTTTTACACTTGAAACTTCATAGCAAAACACTGTGAACGTAACATTCACATCGTTTTTGTTGTGAATGTTTGATTTTTTTTACCTTCACAACATTTTGTTATGGAGAGAGAGAGAGAGAGAGAGAGGAGATAATTTTTTTTACATAGATCTTACGGATCTCTCAAATTGTGGAGTTTTCAAAAGATTAAGATAATTTTATTAAATACATACAATTCCTGTTACCATTTACCCTAGCCCTATTACTATACTGAACTGATTATTTTGGCTCCATCAGTAGTCCGTCATACACATTTATTTCAAATCTACCGTCTCAACACTCCTTTTGTCCTTGTGCACTTTATATTTCTTGTGATTGTTACTTCGATCATCAGGTAGGCCTCCGTTGTCTGTTTCCCTTAGAGAAACTATAACTGATTTACGAATTCCTGATCAGGTATGTATAAGTAATCAAACCCCAACCCTGTATCTGATTTCTCATTTCTATGTTCTAAGATTTTCAATACCCTTATTTTGTAATTTACCATGTTATGTGTTACGTAATTTGATGATTTCTTATTTATGTAATCTGCAATTTTGAATTAACATAAGTGCTTTGTTATATTATGATATACGATCATAATCAAACCCTAATCTTTATTTCTAAACCTCTTTTATTTATCATCTTCTGATAAAAAAAACTCGAAATTAGTCCATTCAATAATACCAAGTCAAAAATCGTCTTAGTATAAAGGGATTGTTTGACAGTTGCTAAATGGTTTGGTGCTGAATGATTAAGAGACTATTGTGATATAATGCAAAATGAAATATCACTGTTTCATAATTGTTACAATGAAATTAGGGGCGCTGAATGGTTAAGAGAGACCTATGATACATAATCATTCATAGAGTTTTAGAACCATTAAGAGACAATTTTTTTTTTTGTCAAATAAGATTAATCTCTTAACGATTCAGAGACTGCCTCTTAATGGAACGATTAAATGGTAAACAAACAACTCTTAAAGTAAATTACATTTTCATCCCTATAGTTTGCTAAAAAATGTGATTTTCGTTTCTTTGGTTTATAAATTATGGTTTTCGTCGCTATGATTTATAATTCATTGCGATTTTGTTATTATTATTTACATTTTACGTTGTTTTGGTCCTTGTCGTTTACATTTTTTTACTGTTTTTGTCATTTGTACTTAAAAGTAGGAATTAGTCGGTGACCAAAATAACAATTAATTACAAACCATGAATACAAAATGATAATTTCTAAACCACAGGGACCGAAAATAGAAATCATTAACAAACCAACAAAAAATTGTAATTTACTTAAAAGACTATTTTACCCCTGAAAAGATTCCTATTGCAAGTAACGAGTGTAACTATAAATTGAAATAAAATATTATTTCAAAAAAATAAAAATTAGAAAAATAAGAAATGATATCTTCTTCTTCAACGTCGAACTTATCCAATCTTCCCCCATCATCTACACCACCGATTCCTGTAGCGCCACCTGTCCCTAAGCAGACCGTACACCGTCCACCGGAATCTGACAACCGGAAACTCAATAAAGGTAGCTCTCAGTTGCTCCGATGGTCTAGAGCTCGTGCAATCAGATCTGGCGTGAAACTGGACCGTCCAACTCAACGAACACTCACGGAGGTTGTTGATCGACCGGTGCGTGATTCTTCTTCTACTACTAGTCCGTATCAATCGTCGGAGGAAGAAGAAGACGGTTGTGTGGCGGAGATGGAGGAAGCGGCGGCGGCGGGAGCGAAACATATATATATGGTTTCCGATGGCACGGGATGGACAGCGGAGCATTCTGTGAACGCGGCGTTAGGTCAATTCGAGCATTGCTTGGTGGATCATGGTTGTCCAGTCAATACTCATTTGTTCTCTGGGGTAATTTCAGATCTTCACTTCCATTGATTAGAGTTCATACTTTTACAGTCTGATGTTGAAGAATCTGGAAGTTTTGATCACGAGTTTAAACTTTTAATCGGTTATTCTAGTTTTTTAGCTTATTAGAAATCTATGTTAGATCTATAGATGTGGACAGATTGAAGTAGTTACAGATCGTTTCTGTGGAACCAACTCGGTTCTATTCAAATTTGAAGTTAGAAATTGATCAATCTACCCGACGAAGTCTATAATTGACTGTAATTTGGGGCGGATTTCATAACTTCTTGGAGCTCACATGAGATGATTCACATGATGAACATTTTCATTTGGAGCCAAAGGGGCTGTTTAGCAAACCTACTGGTAAGGACTTGGTAAGATTGTAGTTCACTGGCTGTATCGAATGCAACAATTTACTTGTTAAGTATTTATCACATAAGAGTCCCCACCCTCACCTACCATTAAGACTTTCCATCCTCGTCATCACTTTACCTGGTAAGATTTTCGGCTTTTGTCATGTTTATCCGGTAAAGTAAATGACCAAGTAAGCTTTTACCGGGTGCGCGTTTAGTAAACGGCCCCTAAATTTGAGACCAAGTAATTTAGTTCTTGAATAATTTGGAGCTAGGTTTAAGAGCTGATTATTTGGAGCAAATGTAACAGAACAAAAAAACCTAAACTTGTTGTGCTATGTTTGGTGCTACAATAGACTTGGATAAGATAGGAATAAATGGAACAATTCACGAGCGTGTTTCAATCTCGTCCTGTCAATCCACTCACCACTCTGCTTACCAGAAGCACTTCATGTACTTAGGCTCTATGACCAACGATTGAAGATCGAAAATGACTTTACACACAGTATAAAGACAAGGTAGGCAAAATGTAGGGCTGCCACTGGTAGAACCTTTTTACTCCTTTTGTAGAGGAGAGGTGGCCTACATATTACTCTTCCTATACCCTCTATCAGGAAATTGAGCAAAATAGTCAATCTTGCCATCTAAATAGCTAAAAGCAAAATAGTCGATCTTCCTATCCAAATTCACTTTTAGCTATTTTTTCAATCAAATTCTCATTTTAGCTAGAATTTACACAAATACCTTGTGCATTTGCTTAAAGCCTATTTTCAAATGTAAAAAAAACTTCACGCAAGTTTGCGTAATTTGCGTAAGGATCCCATTTGCGTAAAGAATTTGCGTGAGGATCCCCATTTACGTGAAGATTTTTTCTTTTCTTTTAGTTATGTAAATAGGCTTTACGCAAATGTATAGTAAACTTTGGGTAAAATGGGAATCTGATGTCAAAAACTGGCTAAAAAGTGAATTTGGCTGAGGAGATTAGCTATTTTGGTCAATCCCCCACCATATCTTGTGGGATTTACCGATTGTGGAGATAATCAACTTTATATCTTTGCATCGACTATCATGTGGTTCATTTTTCTGCGGATGGCCACCTATACCCTACTTTTAAGTAGAATATACTGAATTAATTTGATTTGGTTATATCATCTGGTTCACGTTTATCGAGTTCGTTTTCTTTTCACATCAGATTGAAGACATAGAAAAGCTTATGGAGATAATTAAGCAAGCAGCCCGAGAAGGAGCAATGCTGATTTACACACTAGCCGATGAAAACATGGCAGCTTCAGCGCTACACGCCTGCAAACGGTGGGGCGTGCCGTCCACCGATTTACTTAGCCCGATCACCGAAGCAATCGCACTGCACTTGGGGGTCTCGCCTTCCGGCCTACCTCGTGGGGCCCCGGGAAGGAAATTCCCGTTGACCGAAGATTACTTCAAGAGAATTGATGCAATTGAGTTCACCATAAAACAAGACGATGGAGCTTTGCCTGGGAACTTACACAAAGCTGATATTGTTCTTGTGGGTGTTTCCCGCACAGGAAAGACTCCGTTATCGATCTATTTGGCACAAAAGGGGTTTAAAGTGGCGAATGTGCCTCTCGTTATGGGAGTTGCGTTGCCAAAAACTCTATTCGAGATTGACCAAGAGAAGGTCTTTGCGTTGACTATAAATCCGGTTGTTTTGCAAACTATAAGAAGAGCGAGAGCGAAGAGCTTAGGGTTTACGGAACAAGTGAGAACGAATTACTCCGAGATGGATCATGTTCGGGAGGAGCTCGATTGCTCTTGCAAGATTTTTGCGCAGAATCCCACTTGGCCAGTAATCGGTTAGTACCATTTTTCTTGAAGAATATATAATTTATATACACGACAAAACTTACAGACACTTCTCATCTTTGCTGAGATTTGAACTAGGGGTGAGCATAGGCGGGTACCCGCCCTTTTTGACAGGAACCGGAACCGGAACCGGAACCGGCGGTTCTTGAGATATTGGAACCGGAACCGGAACCGGTTGAAGCGGTTCTTGAATTTTTGGAACCGGAACCGGAACCGCCGGGACCGGTTCCGGTTCCGGGTACCCGCTTCCTAAAATTTTAAAATTTTGTTATTTAGAAATAAAAATAAAATATTGCCAAAACACTAAATTAAATAAACAAGAATACAAATTATACGGAATAATGGTTACAAATATTGTTTTAACGATTACAAATCATAWTAAACTAATAGAAAATGTTCAAAGTTTAATGATTATATACTTTAATTATAAATGTTCAAAACTTAACGATTACATATTACGAATTGTAGTTTAGTAGAACTAGAAAGTAGATGAAGAATGAAGATGATCGCGTCATTTGAAGATGTAACCTAATATAAATTTGGTATTGAAAAAAATTAATTATTTTTATTGAAAAACAACCGCCGGTTCCGGGTACCCGGCGGGTAACGGTTCCGAAAAACTGAGAACCGGAACCGGAACCGTTCTCAATCGGTTCCGTATTTTAGGAACCGGAACCGGAACCACTCATATCGGTTCCGGTTCCGGAACCGGCGGTTCCAAGGCGGTTCCGGTTCCGCAAACGGGTACCCGGTTCCGCTGCTCACCCCTAATTTGAACCATTGACCTCCTCAGAGGTCGGGCTCTACCGGTAAGGTAATCACATGCTCTCGAGATGATGACTCTTTGGTTAAAACCAATGATTAGGGTGCATTTGGTATACTAGACAGAACGGAATATAGACCCCTTTTCGACGTTTGGCAGAACTTTTATGCGGAACAGACGGGAACAAAGTGGAACGGTCGTGTTCCACCCCCACAAGGACAAGGTTGAACAGACCTATATTTTACCAATATAATCTCACAAGAAAATTTAATTATTTTCTAAAACATCAAATACGATTCTCTTTACATTTTATTCATTTTTTAAATTTTATTTATTGTATTTTATGCTTTTTAAACTTTAATTACTGTCATAAACATATTATTTTATATGGTTTCTATGTAATTTATTAAATATTAATAATAAATAAAATATAGAAAAGGTATAAAATAAAAACCGGAAACTACATAAACTTTTTATCTTGGTATCATTTTTAATCATCGTCAAGTAGAGGTGGCCAAAATTCGGTCCCGGGCCGGGCC